CTCAGTGGACATGATGAAAAAACACATGAGTAAGACAATCAACCAATCAACCTGATAGGATGGCCAAAACTAAGCCAAACTACAGTGATGATGATGAAGATGAACTCATCTCTACGCACACGTGTTTGTTTACTGTACTGTATATAAAATACTCTCTCTCTCTCTCTCTCTCTCTGACTCTTTCTGTCTTTTTCTGGGAGAATCACACACTGTTTACGCTGCCATCTTCAACACGCACTTCTTTGTCTCTCATTGGAATATTCATGCCAATTAAATCCCTGTACCTAAAAATAGACAACTATGATTATGTTGGCAGGGAGCAGAGATCCTGTATGAAAATTAGTTGTGTATTATTAATGAAATGAGTACAGAACATACAATTTATTCTTATGTTAAGTTATTCAGTGGGGTCAGGCTTGTAGCTATTGCTCAGAGGCTGTTATAAGGTGAACTCATGGCATTTTCAGCAGAAACTAATTGAAATTTTTACCCAGGCTCTCATCAAAATGGAAAATGGCTGTTTCTAAATTAAGTGCAGGGGATTATGTGTGTGATTTTTTAAATTAACTGTATTCAAGTACTTGTAATTCCCAAAAAGAAAATTCTCAAAAACACGATTATCAGACACCCTGAAATAACAGAACAGGATAAATGGTCATGTGCTGGATTTATTTTGCAGATTTGGTGTGTGTGTGTGTGTGTGTGTGTGTGTGTGTGTGTGTGTGTGCGCGTGTGCGCGTGTGCATGTGCGCGTGTATGCGTGTATGTGTGTGTGTGTCAAATTTTAAAACACAAAACAGGCAAATACTGTTTAAATGAATATTTTACGGTAAATTTTTAGTAGCACGTCTGACATAAAAGACATCTATCTCCAGATAGAGCAAAATAAATGCACAGAAATAGTCTTAATGTGTAATTTTCTCTGAAAATATGAACTAATCATTCAGCTCAGTTAGCTGTCTGACAACTTTTTCCCCCCTGATTTCTTCCTCTGCTGTCCTACACCCCGCTGCCTGTTCCCACTGCACTGTGGTGATCAGGTCATGTGATCTACACTCAGGTGTGTGTTGGCACCAGGTAAAGATATCTGCCTGCCTGCAGTGAAAGAAAATACACCAGCGTAGCTCTCTCCGCGGGCTAGAGTTACAGCTTGGTCCTTGTGTCTTAGCCAAGAGCAAACTGAACCCTCAGCGCTCCTCTGTCCGCCCTGCATTAAAGCCGCCTCTCTCCTATGCTTCCTCCATGGCTCTGGTTTCATTTCCTCTTCCTCTTCAAGTTCGTCCTGTGGAGGGAACATGAACACACATGATGCTCAGATTATGATATTCACGCACATGACTGTTATCATTCCTTACATGTACTGTCTACATGGCCCATCTGTGCAGCAGCTGCACATCTGAACTACACACTTAAATTAACACTGATGATATCCACCTTTTCGGCCTGAATGTGAGTGCAACAGCAAAATAAAAGCTTTCATTAGAACGATCAAACAGTGAGTGCTGATCATTCATCATTTAATAAAAATCTGTACTATATGTGTGTTTTCAGATAAGATGATACTGAGATCTTTCCAGCATTATCAGAAATGATTTGTCACATATTCTCTCATCGGGTATCTGATTTCAATTACTCTCTCTCTCTCTCTCTCTCTCTGCCCTACTTTATATTTTTGGTCCTTTGCCTCTCACCTGTGTGAATAGTGTGAATATTATTACTGTGGCTGGACCATATATAGTTACATTATATGGCCACAGTATATGGTCATGTTGTAACTGCTGTCTGTAAACCTGCAATTTCCTCTGCATGTTATATTTAATGGTTTGAACAGAAATGTTTTATGTGAACAGCTTCTTCTTTAAAGGTGTAGTCTAGAGTTTTCCCACCACTCAACAGCAGGTGTAACGGCTGGCATTTGAAAATGTTTTTTTCAATCCAGGCTCAGTTTTGTATCATCATCTTTTCCACAAAGAACAAATGACAGTAATAAAATGCAAATAAATTGAATGATATCCAATATCTGTGAAAATTACAACTCTTACCTCCAATCTAAAAGTAACCATCATCAAGAAAACTATATCACTGTGTCTCCACGCTACTCACCCGCCATCCACCGAAGAACGAGATGCAGTCCAAAGTGAATTTTGAGCTACAATTATTTGCTCAAAGATATTTTCAGCATCATAACAATGGCACATGGAGTCATCTTATAAATGAAAATGAATCCATAAGAGTAACAAAATTGCTTGCCTTGGTGATGATGTAAACATTAGGATGTACATTTACATCATGGCCTTTATCATTATCATCCTTATCATTTCTGTGGATCACACCAGTGACAGAAAAAATCCAGTGTTATTGCACAGAAATATTACATTATGATATAAGATTTCAATTATAGGCTAATATCTTCACATATTGATTGTACTATAAAAATCACTATATTATTACCCTGTTCTTTTTTAATCACATCAGATACATGAATTTTATTTAGATACAATCTCATAGAGAAATGACGATGAAGTCTCAAATATTTGTGTTTTTTCTAACACAAAAAGTGTCCTAGAGCATATAACAACAAAAAACAAACTTATTGAGCCTTCATGTGAGTGGATGAGGAAGTTAGCTGAGAAAGCAGAGGTGGAAAACAAAGGCAAAGGACAAAAAGCGGTGGGAAGAAGGAGATGAGTTGGGCTTGGGAGAGAGGAGCTGGACAGAGAGGTGTCCATGTCTCTCATTCTGCAAATAAACAAAAAGTAAACACCAGTGGAGGAAACACTGTGACACTTGACGCTGCTGATCGCTCCTCCGCCTGCCCACTCATGTTTCCCAGAAGGCCATTCTGCCGGCCACAGGACAAAAGCAGCGCAAAAAGCCAACACCTCTCTCCCCCCGGGGTGCTCAGAGACAAAAGAGAAAAAAAAAAAAGCGATACAACACCTTTGTTTGCTGAGATTAAAACATCTCTATCCCTCTCTCCCCAGGGGTAACTCTACCAGGCGAGAGATGTAACTGTCAGTGAACTCTCTCCATTCTTAGTAGCTCATAAAATCTTCCTTATTATTGCGGTGTTTCCTATTGTTTGGGTGTCATTGTTGGTGCATCTTGTGACGCTGTGATTAGCAGATCTGTCTTGGCACGGGCTGAATGAGCAGGCCTATCCTTTTGCTGTGCCTCTTGTGTGATACAGGTATAAAGTTGGTGATGTGACCAGACTTGTGCCCCGGCCTGATTGTTATTGACTGAAACTGAATAGCTGTTGACATAAAAGAATACCCGGCCTTATCCTTCCATATGGGGAATCTGACTCTGATGATAACAGCTCAGGAATTCACACATGGACAAACATGAGTGCCATGTGCCAGGCTATTTCAAAGTAAAGTATCCACCAAATAATTGCCTGATCCAGGTACTGTGATAACACTTTTAAGTCTAAGGTACACTTTATGTGCAAAACACATGCCTGATAAAAATGACCCAGCTTCTTTCACACTTGGCAACAAATCATATGTAATTCCCATGACTACTATTATTCTAACAAAGTTGACAGCTAACATGTGAGGCAACATGTACATCAAATCCAGCATTATATTGCTCGAATGGTAACAGTGGCATGGATGGTGGTCCTCAGACACGCAATATCTCCACAGGGGGTCTCTGCCAATCTGGCAACCACAGTAGGAGGTCTCACTCTCATCAGCACTGTAGGATCCAGACCACCTACCACCTACCTTTCCTCACTCTTTTGTCTGCACAGGCTTTAAAACTGCAGGCTCCAAAATCATCTGCCTGCAGTTAACACATTTCTCATTTAATATCGTATGTTTTTACTGGAACTACTTTCTACGGAAGAAAACAGTCCCAGTGGAAACCGTTTACAGTCAGCCATGTGGATGGTCCACAGTGATCAGGAGACTGTTTATGAAGAGATGTGAAACAGTAGTGGACAAAACATAATCTCAACACAAGGTTCATTTTAGCAGCTTTTCTGGAGCTTTTTATTGTATTACATGGTCTTCTTTGTTTGCCCAGTTGAAAGTTCAATTCAAACTTTCAATCTGTTTTAAGTTATTGTGGATGAGAAGTACTCAAAAAAAAAAGGAAATTTGAACATGTACAATTCCATGACCACTTCCATCTTACTGAGGAAGATTGTGTGATACAATCAAAAGCTCCAGAACAACTACTTAAGCGACCTTGTGGTGTCCCTTTTCACTCGTACCACATATTCACATCACAAATAATAAACTCAGGGTCTCACAGTATTCATGTAAGCAAGCTTTTTGCAGTAGTTACAGGTTTCCAAGCAGATGAATAAAAGCTCCTTCCTGACGAGAGGCAGATGACCTTGCTGGTTGTGCACAGGCTAATGTAATTCTGGATGGTTAGTGGTCTTTTTTTTTTTTTTGATGATTTACAGGATCTCATACTGCTGAGAAAGCTGTAAAGAAAAATAAACCCTCCTCTCTTACATACGACACTCAAAGCTTTAAATGGGCTTGTGGTTTCATGTGACTTTTCAAAAGACACCAAACTAAACAGACCTATCGCTTTCGACGCGCGCTCTTTTCTGAGAATGGCGAGTGGATAAAACATAAGCCTCTCTCCTCAGACCCTCCCTCTCTATCCCTGCATCGCCGATCCCACTACACAAACAGCACGCCCACATAATGAGGCCGGGTGAGAAAGTGTAAAGTGGAGGTGTATTGAGGGGCCATGTAAGCTGGCCTAATCCTCCTTCACAGCATTTGTTGTGTCATTAGAGCTGTATGGCTTGTGGATCCTGTGACACGGGCCCTATTCACTCCTGTAGCCCTCAGCCAGTGCGCTGCAGAGAGACAGTGTTCAGAGCAGTTGCAAGCCACGGTGGATTTTCAAAGGTGAAGCGCCCTCACAGACCACACAGGACCTCTCTCCTGGGGGTAGAAAATGTGATAAAATGTTTTTGACAAACACAAAGGAGGAGGAGACACAAAATCACAGACTCCAGGTTTCACTCAGCAGTTTTATTTTTGTGCAAATCACAGGCAGCGCAGTAGCTGAGAGACAAGAGATGTGCTTTGCAACAAGTGGATAAACCAGTCATGATGTGTTATGGCATCCCTTTATTTAATATGTGGGTGAAAGCAGGTGACCAGCTGTTTTATTTTGTTTGCTGAGATTGCTGCCTTTATTTAAACCTACCTGCCTGTCTCCGCACGATTATCAATTTTAAGACTTCGTTTCTATTGATACATTCACCTGTATGAAGGGTTTTTATTTTATTCTTCCACAGCCTGACGAAAAAAAAAAAAAAAAAAAACACATTCTGCGCTGCTATTTCATTCATATTTTAAGTATTGAGAAAGTTTTCTTCTATAGTGTACAGTACCATGGAGAGTTACAGTATATCATATAGTACATATTTTAGACATTTTTGTTTTTACATAAAACACAAAGGTCATACAATTTTATCAGCAACTGCAATTTACCAGTGGCATTGGTCTTTCAAGTTTCATTGAGAGGAGAGTTTTTTTCAGAGTTCATTAAAGAACAATGAAAAACAGACGAGATGGCACCATGCAGTTTGTGAGGCTGAGGTTTCCTTATGGAAGTAAGCTGACTGTCAGGATAAACCTATTCAATTGCAAAGGGATAGTAAAGATGATAGTAAAGCTCTATTTTACAGGTCCCATATTTTCCTGAGCTGAATACTATACCACAAACACTTTCTCCATTTCCCTTACAGTTCGTACCAAATTGTGTTGGCCTTTTCTTGGAAATATCCTTGTTATTTACAGCTAAATAACAAATTTCAAGGATATTAGCTAGAAAATATGGGGCCCATAAAATAAAGCGTTCCTGGGATTTTACTCTAAAAATCAGTGGTTAATCAAACAGAATAAATGCTCCTCATTCAACAGCTGAACTTCCCGTTCGAAAGTGAAACAGCCCCAGTAACTGAAAACCTACATTGGCTAACTGTTGTAGCTTAGGTAACAGAGTGTATGTGCTGAAACTATTCATTGTGAATGAGTGGATACTCTACTTGGTGCATTACTGGTGCATCGTACCATACAATGCTGATACGAGGTAGTAGAGATGCATTTATTTAGAACAGTAAACCATACAACTCAGGAGAATGACTAACATATTCATATACAGTACAGTGTAATAGAACAAGCATTACAAAGTAGCGATATTGCTTTTGGCTACAGCTCTTATTGCTGGCTTTTTAAAACATTAAAATGGCTCAGATGAGAAAAACAGCTTGGATTATATTCCCCCAAAGTACTTTTCAGCTCTCAGTACAGTATAACTGTACATCACTAAACCCCATCAGTTCATCACACTCACTGGATGAACCAGTCTCATCCTGTCCAAAAAACTACTAATCCTTACCTACATCAGTATCTGTTTCATCAAGCTACCGTAAATATTAAGACTTCTCAAGACAGTCTAAATGCAACATAAATAAAACATAAGGCCGGTTTTGCAAGTGATATTTGAAAAAAATGTAATTAAAATAAAAAAAATACACTCTGAAATAGAGCACTTAACCACATGGCTGATTTCTCCTTAAAAATGGCAGAACAAGAAAGTCAACTTATTCAAGACCTTCTATAATGAAATGATTTGCTGAAATCATGAGCGTTACATTTTGTGGGATTCAGGGACTTCTGAGGTGTCTGTATACTGGTAGTCAAGCTCAAAATATTTTAACACTATTTCAGCACCTGCAGACTCCTCCGTATCAGGACCGTTCGCCCTGATTGTGATCTCATTTGGGCTGTTCTTTGAGCTGGTGTTCCCTGAGAGCACCAGTGAAGGTAGCCGTCCACACATGCAGGGCCGTCCCAGCAGAGAGGGTGAGGAAGAAGAGGAAGGCAACTTGGAAACCAAACCAATCCACCACGCCTCCGGCCAGAGCGCTGAACGTCAGCTTCCCCAGCACCTCCAGAGTCGCCAGGAAACTGTAGTGGGTCGCCTAAAGGGGGAACGGCAGCCGAGAAGTAGGATGATGGGAAAAGAGCAGGAGGAGGAGGAATGATGAGAAAAGAGATTAAAAGGAGGAGGGAAAGAAGAGGAAAGTGAGAGGAGAAAAAGGACAAGAGGAAAAGAGAGGGTTTGGGAAAGAAAGACAGACATTGTGAGTAAAAGGAGAGTGTAGTGAATGGGAAAGTAGAGAGGGTAACATGGGTGGAGAAGGTGACACTTCATTCAAACCTGTTCCACAACTTATCAGCTGATTGCTCTCAAACCTTTAATACAGAACAGTTAGCCACAAACAGGCAGAGCAATGAGGGAAAGGTGCGATTTTGAAAAGTAAAAGCCCCAAAGTGCAAAAGGAAAACAATACATGAGAAAAATAAATTCAAGAAAAAAAGAGACTGGATGCCTGAAAGAGAAAGCGTGAGATCATGGCCTGAGACGATGGAAGGAGGCCAAACGAAGAAGAGTATCTGATCCCAGCCTCAAGGCTTTCAACACAGAGAGAGAGGGAGGGAGGGAGAGAGAGAGAGAGAGAGAGGGAGAGGGAGAGGGAGAGAGAGAGAGAGAGAGAGAGAGAGAGAGAGAGAGAGAGAGGGAGAGAGGGAGAGGGGCAGAGATTACCTAATCTCTCTGAGCCTCCTCGCTCGGTCCGAGAGCACCGCATTCAGCAGGTGAGTCCAACAAAACAGAAGGACTCTAGTGACACCTAGACCATTAACTGAACAAATTAATTCATTAGGCTCATTCGTCTCTCGGGCTTAACAAATACTTTTAATCTTTCCATCATATAAATATGGATTAAAATTTGTTTTAAACACACCAGGTAAACAAGGTAATCCTTCACTATGTCCACAAACTACAAATACCTTCGGCTGCTCTTACAGGACAAAGAATAAAAAATTCTGAGCAGCAACAATTTGTCGATTAATCGATTAATAGATTGCCAAAAAAAAAAAAAAAAACTGAATGGAAGTTTTTTTTCTTCTCTGCAGTAGCTCCAGCTTTTCCAATCTGAGGATTTACTGCTTTTATATCTTTCATTGATTGCTAACTGAATATCTTTTGGTTTTGAACAGTTGGTTGGATCGAACAAGATATTTGGTCTTTTCATTATTTTCTGACATTTTGTTGTCTAATTAATTAATCAGTTCATCAAAAATTAATAATGACAACAGATTATGATCTGCAGCAGTACATTCTTCAATCATATAAATTTTATCATGCTGAAATGTTTTCATCCATGACAGGTTTCTACGACAGCCAACTTTGTACCATTTCTCCTGTCATCTAGGACTACACTGATGACAATCCTTAAAGGACACTTCTCACTTGAAAACAAAGACTGAAAATGAAGTGATGTGGTGCTGAGTTCGGACCATATCTGAGCTGTAGCTGTGGTCTGTAGGCCGAGGTAGAGAGCTTTGAGAGCCTGTGTGACCACAGCTAAGTGGAGTGCCTTTATTCTGAGCAACTTGTTTAACAGATTCGGTTTCTGTCTCCTGGGGATCGTTAACAAGCACTCACACTATCAGTTTTCTGTCACTGGATAGCACTACCTTCAATGACACACACACACTGACACACACACACACACACACACACACAGGCACACACACACACACACACACACACACACACACACACACACACACACACACACACAACGAGCACAGGTGAGCTAATGCTCTCCCCATCCGCATGCACGTACACACACAGATTCACACACAGACACACTAAAAAGCAAACAGTATATGTGTCATGAGAACCTCTCAAATGATCCCTGGTTCTCATCGTCACATGTTGTGATTGGTTCTCTCCTGTTTTTTATTTTATGTGTAACCGGATCCTGATATCTGTGCTGCAGATGTGATTTTTTTTTTTTTTTCAATCATCCTTCTCCACTTTAAGAGTGACAGCAATTTAAATGATAATTTGTCACCTTCAGAGATTGACTGAGTGATGTCTGAACGGCTGTGTGAACAACGATCACCTCCAGGCAACGATGGCCCAGTTACGACGGGGACAAAAGGAGTTATGTCAAAGAGGAGAAAACGAGAGAGGAGAGGAAAAAGTCAGAGTGGAAAAGAGAGCATTTAAAGGACTACAGAATCACAAAGAAATAGAGTGAGGTGGTAGGAGAGACAATGCCAGTGGAGGGGCAGGTGGGAGGGGGGCAAAAAGAAAAGAAGCGATGAATAGAAACTGGGTCTGCTTAGACTTTAGAGATGCTCCAGGTGGAAACAGCTGAAGAGAAGTGACAGGTAGGTGACAACAGGTGTGGTACTGTATGCTGATGATTTCCATCTCCGGCCCCCACAGACAACCAAAGGAAATGACCTAACATTACAAAGTAGCACAATTAAACTGAGACAAACGAGAGGAAAAAGGGAAGGAAGGAGGGAGAAAAGAAAAGAAAGATTGTGTTGTGTGTTTGTTAGGCCAAAGGAGATGATCTAACATCACATAACGAGACAATTAACGCTGAAGAGATAGTGACAACAGAGCAGAATTATTACATAACAGCAGCCTGGGGCTCCAGATGAGGCAGGTATGAGTTAAGTCCATTTTTACCTGAATGCTTTCCTCTGCCCTCTGAGTGCAATGCATCATGGTAGTGAAGGTGAGCGTGGTGATGAGACCACCCAGGAAGTGCTGAACGCTCATGCTCAGGACAGCCATACCTGAGGGAACGAACACACGCCGGAAATATCAATCAAAAACAGGCACAACACGTCTGAGAAAATCTACAGGAAGTTTTAGTGAAAAAAGCAGAAAACTATCAATTTCACGCTGTTGTCTGCTCTGCTACACTTCTCCTATATTATTCTATGTAGAAGTCAAAGTAGGGAGGCAAAGCAGTTGTAAACGGTAAGCTGCTGAAGTGCCTCCTCTCCTTTCTCCCACCACCACCTCCACTCCCCCTTGTCCCCAAAACACATGTAGTCTATCCTCTGAGGGGAAGTGGCAGAGCAGTGTTAGTGGGGAAACACAGAGGAACCACAGAGCCTATCTGTCTCTGCTCCCGCTAACACTGAATTATTCACTCAAGCCGCCAGAGTTTTTGCAGAATAAGACTCTACACTCAGCGACACAAGACTCACACAGATACACTGACTGATCAGACTAGAAGAATGGGAAGCGGAGGGTTATCATGTAATATTGAAAAATCTGAAATTGAATGTTTTTCTCTTTCTTTTTTTTTTTTTTTTTTCAGTTGAGTTTTCCTGAGATCTTTGTTCTGGGTTGAAAGTGGAGGAGGGAGAGGCCCCAACTTTCAGTCTGAGAGGTTTGATAGGGGAACAGACATCTCTGGCAGAGATGAATGGTGCGGATTTGAATCCCAAATGCTTTGGGACTGGCTGTGCAACAGAATCAGATGTGTCATTCAGACATTAACAACTAAATGGCTCTCGGGAGAGAGACAGCATCTGTCTATCAACGTCCTCTGCATCATGTGTTCTTGTGCTGTATTAATACTGAACATCAAAAGCTTGTACTGCAGGCCAGTGGTTTGCAACCTTTATTAGATAAGAATGCCTTAAGGCATCAGTAAATACTTTTAAAGTTTGAGTGTGTACCATCATCCCCATCTAAACAATTATTATGTCTTTCCCCTCTTCATGATGACAAGCTATTGTACTGTGAGCTGTACCAAAGAATGCTTTCAGATTCTATGACTGTTAAATTTACCTCATTTTCAGAGGCCTGAAGAGGTAGAAGTTTTCAAAAGACAAAAGCAAACTCAAGCGAAAAAAAAAGAAAAAAAAATACATCATTTTATTCTAAGACACATGTCATTTTTTTCATTTCCCTATCCCACAACTTGTCTTGCAACTTGAACTGATGGAGTTCAAGTTTTAGACAAGCGGCAAGTTTCGGGGCTGAAAAATAAAGCCAACAACAAAGTGCCAGAAACTGCAGTTCCTCCAATGACCACTTGAGGCTGGCTCTAAAAGTGAGTCAATCCTCATAGACTCACATGTTAACTTATGCGCAACTATACTTTACAGCAGAAATGATGTTTACAGCCTGGTACAAAAAACAGTTTTAGTCTCTAGAGCTAATGTCCCCATTCATGAAAACTATACGGGGTGTGAATTTATATATAACTCACTCATTAAAATCTTATTAAGGCTTTAAGTTATGCATAATTGAGGGAATGGCAGCTTTGAGTGACAGGTGGGTGCCATCACAGTTGACTAGCTGATTGGTGACTGCTCTGCGTCACCTCAGTTAATTTGAGTCACTGAATGTGACCTCTCGGCCGTCTTCTCTTGTTGTAATCTGTTTGCAATAAAGAATGCATTCAAAACAGCAGGAAGCGGCTACAGAAATGCAAATGGTGTGCTGTTTCTTCTTCACTTCTTTTTTGTAGTTGGCTGGTTGTTTTTTCACAAAAACTGAATTTTAAAATTTAGCTGGGGTATGTAGACTTGGTCTTGTTTGACCACTGGTTTTGTGGCTGCAGGTCAAACACAAATCAGACACGGAAATGAGTCAATAATTCTACAAAAGGATTTACAGCTTTCACGGAGAAGGTGGATGTCTATTGTAAAGTCCTACTGTATGGATGTTACTTAACCTTTATATCAAATTACTAAGCTGCCAGCCACACTGACAGAAATCAGCTAACAATTTCTTCTTTAACATTAGAAAGAATGCACAACACACACCTTATGCTACAAGTACCCAGGGGCTGAACACAACGAAAGAACAACACAAATACAATAGAGCTGCAGTAAATTCGGTGAATGTCACGACGCTGGTATTGTTGAGTGACACGTGTTGACTCAACTCAGTGCTGATTTCTGAGCAGTTTGTTGTATTTTTTTGCATCGTTTAGTTGTTGTTGTTGCTGCATTGTTTCTCTTTGCTAATCAGTTTTGCTGTGGTTAGTGAAGAGCATCGTGATCTTTTAACCTGTTTTTATTCTCTACATTACAAAATTCTGTAGTGTTTATAACTGAATAATGGTGTCAAAACAGCAACTGAAGTAGTTCTTATCCTCAAGATAATCTAACTTCATTAAGTTAAGTAACTTCATTGAATAGAGTGCAGTCAGTGTGACTGTGCTTGTGTTTTACTGAGATAATGTGTTTATCCACATAAACTCACATTATACATCTATGACTTCAGTCAGTTTATTTACACTTGCTTGCATGTTAATGAGTGAGTCTTTATTCAAGGAACTAGAGTTTCAAATGAGGACAATATGTGTATGGGATCAGGATCTGGAAAGTCTAAATATGTAAATCTACAGAACTCAATAAACAACATGTGGTGCTCTAATACACTATTCACAGACACAGAATGAAAGACTAACAAACACCTTGTATCAGTGTTTAAACTTGTATTGAGGTTTTATATTCTTCTTGTCATTCCATCAGTTTTACACCAGAGCACCACTGACAAACCACACCACAGACAAACTGACAAACTGGACTGTATAGTGTAGGATCGCGGTAATTAGTAATATGTGGTGAAATTGGGTTCCAGTTCAATTGGTTCCTGCCACCTTGTCAATGACTGTATTTGTTTCAGTCTGTTTCTCACCTTTCATTAGTGGCGATGGTTCCAGCACGGTGAGTAGAGAGCTCTGGAAGACCATGCTGACGGTTCGCAATACAAACACTCGTCGCATCAGAGCCCCGATGCTGAGGAAAGAGCAGCAAACAAGCCGAGAATCAGAGAGATATTCACCAACTTTCAGGTACGTGTGTTATTGTTGAGCGGCATGACATGTGGTGACAGTGACTCCAGGCTAGTATCATTAAATTTAGAGACATTCTGTGTTTCTCTTCATATCACACACAATTACACACACACACACACACACACGCGCACACACACAGAAACATGCGTGCACGTGCGTAAGTAAACAAGTCCCCAGACGCTAATTGATTCCCTGTAAGTGCAAGAAAATCATCCCCCTGTGGGTTTGGTTCGTGACGTAATCAATAACCTAAGGAGATCCCCAGCATGAGGAAGATAATTAAACATTGTTAACATACACACACACAAAACACACACACAAAAGAGCTCGCACTGTTGTGTGACATCAGGGATTAATAATGCCAATCACTCAGAGGATGCCTGCCACTCAAGGGACTGAATGTGTGTTTATGTTTTTTTTTTTTTGCATGTAATTATTTATGTGTAAAAAAGAAAGGCTGTGAGGAAGAAGTCACACAAAGCAGGATAACTGATTTAATTGGATGAGTGCACTAAGAAAGTAAAAACCATTAACGTTTTCATTCCATCATCGAGATTTAAAGTCACACAAGTGATGACACCCAGTGCGCCCTGGGTGACCGTGCTCACTGTTTTGCTACATAGTCTTTAAACATGTCTGCCCAGGAGGGGGACTGCTGACTTGCAGCAAGCTCCCTGACCGCACTCGAAAAAAAGGTACGTTGTGATTATTTGGTTAATCAAATAATCAGCAGATTATTTTCTTGATTAATCTTTTGACCTATCAAAAGAAATCTATGGATCAATGAAAAGTGGCCACCACCAATTTCTCAGAGCCCAATGTAAAGTCCGATTAATAATCCAAAACCTGAAGATATTCATATAATGTTAAAATGACGAAAAGCAGCAAATCCTCAAGAGGCTGCAACTATCAAATATGTGTCTTGAAAAAATGACAATTATTATTATTATTATTATTATCAATTATTAAAATAGTCAACACTAATTGATCAACTAATCATTGCAGCCCACAAATATTCAGTCATACAGACCTTAAATCAACTGATTTCTATTTATTTCACTTTTTTTGTGTACAAGACACCCCCACCCCCCTCACCATCTCTCCCTCTCCACCTAGACTTTCCTTACCTCTACTGGAAAAACAATCCTGCATCATTCACATGCTAAAGACATTCTTCTCTCTGCTTCTCCTTTACCTCCCTTCTCAATGACAGCCTTTCATATCATGCACTCTCAAGAGATGCTGAGGGGTGTGTGTGTGTGTGTGTGTGTGTGGGTGTGGGTGAGAGAGAGAGGGAGAGAGAGAGAGAGAGAGAGAGAGAGAGAGAGAGAGAGAACCTGTCTGGCTGCCACCTCACATGGGCCAGGCCCGGATAAGAATAGCCATGTTCTCAGGTTGCCAGTGGCGGTTGTAAAGGGGGTCACTCACTGACCACTCAGCCGTTTCTGATGGTGGGGAGGATAAACCTTCCAACTGAGCTTTTAGAGGTGGGACCACAGCCTACCGCACAGCTCTTACTGTGTGTGTGTGTATATATATGTATATATATATATATATATATGTGTGTGAGAATGTGTGTGTGATAGGAAGAAATAAGGGAGAAGTATTCATCTTACACTGGAAGGTACATACAACCAAAATATCAATTTCAACATAATTTTAATCAACAACTGAGTCATAAATTTTACATGTAATTTACATGTAAAACTCTTTGTAGCCATCAGCACATAAATTTGTGTCTCTTTTCTAACTTTTCTAACAATTTAGGCTATGTAATCTCAAAAACATCAACAGGGTGATACAAACTTTCTTATTTATAGTAGTTGCAGTTTCCATTTTCCCTTCCCAGTGAATACAACCAAATTTTCATCAATCAAACTGTATTTTATCAGAGGCTGAAAAAAATTATTAAATGATTATCCCCACACTCTAATTTCATCAGCTGTAATAATACACATACCGTAACAAAAGTGCTTCAGGTCAAGGAGGGTGAAATATAATTTTCCAGATTACCACAACAATAGTGGGTTTAAATAGTTGACTATTACCTTGGTTTTAAAATGAGGAATTCTCTCTCACTACAGAAACAGACACACGACCTCTATGTTGACAACCAATCCAAAACCAGTGCTTCCTTTTTTGTGTAAATTTTTTTAACCTCACTGGATCATTTTTGTAAGACTGATCTATCGGAAAGGATACTGATCCAGTGCTTTGGATCAGTGAATCACAAAAGACGTTTTTATCATTTTTTAATATGTTTGGACTATCAAATGGCTTCTTAGGGGTAAAGTTAAACCTGTGATTCCCACATAATTTCTGTCTTTCTTCAATAAAATAAGATGTTTAGACGACGTACTTCTGTCTTTGTCAGTCTATGAACATTTTACTGCCTGTAAAAGTTACGAGTCCTTTACAAGTGAGATGGAGAGAAAGAGTGAAAGATCAAAAGCCAAAATATGACAATGACATCTTTTGAAAGTGCTCTCTCTTCAACAAAAATGTTGCCTTTGGAGACATGCTCTGTGTTTGCTAGTGTCACTTTACAAGAGGAGAAAAAAAAAACCTGGGAGCCAGCTGAAAACTCGACACAAAGACAAAAAGACTGACATCAGACAGAGCACAGAGCAACTGATACATGTCAAACAAATCAAGCAAGCACACAAACACATACAGTACAAACACACATTCCAAAGCAAAAGACACAACTTCACCTCTCCATTAATTGACTCACTGTGTCCCTAATAATCCTGTATAAGGGCAAAGGGTTTTAGCTAAATAGATTTTCTATATGTGGATGGAAGGAAGGAATTACAGTTGGATGTTGGAAGAGTCCAGTAATACATGATGTGGAAACTAACACATTATCTTTCATAAAGGCATTGTTATTTATAGTTCCCATTACATCACACTGGCCATAGGCAGGGCTGTGCTATAATGTGATCCTAGTATAAGCAGACGTAAAACCTTATGCAACGAAGGTCAGGCACAAATGGCACATAGTCAATGTGCTGAGGGGGAAAACATGTAAAGGTTAAATACAATCATACTATTAAAACAGAATTTGTTTATCCAAAACTGGATGAAACCAACTTCCTATAGAAATTTCTCTAAATGTAATTTTGTATCAGCTGGCTTTTTAACACTGTACACCTGTGTAAAAATATACCATTTAAAGAGAATACTAGTGTTTCAACCCAGTTATTACATCTAATCACCATAATAGATGTTATCTAATATACTGTAATACAGGCGTTTATATATATTAATCAGAAAGTCTTATTAAGTCTTACATCTTAGCATCTGTCTGTAAACCTGAGAATTAAATTCAACCAGAGTAGCACGTTGTCTCTGCGCACGAGTGTGTGTGATGGATTTGCTGCTCATGCTGTTCTCACACCACACTCCAGACACAGGGGGTCCCTGAGCTCTCAAACAAAGCTATGTTTACTTAAATTACTGCGCAGACAGACAGACACAAACAGACAGACAGACACAGACAGACACACACACATCACAAATTCTATTCACCACACACCACAACACACTAATCCACACACACACAAGCACAACCCACCCACACACACACACACACACACAAGAGCGTATGAAGAGTAATATAAAAAATGGAAGAACAGGCACAGAATGATGAGGTGGAGGTATAAAGGAGGAGGAAGAAAGCTTCAATAAAGTAGGAGTCAGTAGAGGAAGCTGAAGAGGAGCAGAATGAAGAGGAGGAGGAGGAGGATGAAGATGATGGTAACATCTGATAAGATGATAATCTGTTCATGTGGAGCAGGTGACCCTGCCTTATCAATCTTCTCCCATTTCTGTCCCAATACTGGAAGGACAGGACCAGTGAAATTTTATTTTCCTGATGGAAGCATGATGCCAACATTTTTGTACTGACTAAAACTGGCTTGTTTCTTATAAAAACTGTTTTGTTTTCCACACTCTGAATTAAGTTGAATAAAGATCTAGAGATATCACATATCCCCTGTGATTTGGGGGGGTCCCTTGTTCCCAGTCAGCTGTCACATTCATGTGTGAATATCAATATTTAATTTAATATTTGCATGAAAAAAAAATCTAAAGACATCACCTTGGATTCTGTGAAACTATTATGGGCATATTTCAGTTTTCTTTTCCTTTTTTTTTGACCTGTTCATATAACAAAAGATTTGCTGATTTATTGAGGAAATAACAGGCAGATTAATCCATGATTAAATTAACTGTTGCAAACCCAAGTGAATACTGGACAACTTGTGGAAGATGTGGATTTGTTGATGTGTACTTTCACACTGAACCACCACTGAAAAGCCTCCAGAGTAACAAAATATTGCTGCCATACAAAAACAGCCATGGTGATGTCAGTGATAACCAAAAAGGTGGTGAGAATGACGGTGTTGATGAAGACAACCTGAACTGAGCGAGCAGCAGTCCTCCCAGGGACGACCCGCAGATGGAGAAGCCCATGGCGATAACGCCATTCCAGAAGCCGAGCTCCCTGGCGGTCATGTGGTGATCCAACAGGAAAAGAGGAAACATGGTCACCGCACCCTGCTCACCTGCGTACACAGCGACAGGAGGAAAAGGAGGGTGAGAGACAGAAAGACGAGAAGACAGAGGCTGGAATGAGTTATCCGGCCAAATACACAGATGACAGAATTTGGTGTAAAACATACAATCAGTACACCATGTGATATGTACTGTATGTTTCTGACTAAGCACTACTATTTTTTACATACAGTAAATATGTGAGACATCTCCTGAGTACACACGCCTACTCCAATCACACTCAAATACAATGAGGATGTTGAACCAAACTGTTTAGCCTGCAAGACTGAACAACATGGTTTTCCTGAGATGACGACTGCAGAATCAAATACAGCACACTGACACGCAGCGCACCTAGGCCTATTCCTGGAAAGTGTCAATAATAGATGCCTGACAAGAAAAAGAATACCCTCAGTCACTTTATCAAACGGGGGCCTAGCACTTTTCATAAGGCACAAAAAGGAAAACACAACAAAAACAGAAAAACTTCCACAGATGAAACAGACCTCACAAAGACCTTTCAGTCAAAATAAAAAGTTTCTGTCAGACAGTAAGACTTTCTCTGTGTGGCGTTGAGTGTGGGGGTAATGTTCTGCTGAACATTACAGTAAAATATTCAGTGGCACCGACTATACGCCATTATTATATTAATGGAGACTGACTTCAGAAAGACAGTGGGACCAAGGAGCTGCGTGAGTGACAGCTTGGCTCCCAGACTGCTGTCAAAGACGACGCAACACAACTGACGACTCACTCACTCAGTCAGCCAGGAGACAAACAAAAATAGAGAAAGAGGGGAAAAAAAGACAGATGAAACAGACTGGAATAAAAAAAATAATAATAAGAGAAAGCTGAGAAGCTCCCAGTGATAGGGAGTGTAGCGACAGAGAGCGAGTGTCACCGCTGTAACAGTGGTGTGAAAACCCAAAACTGTGGATTCTCTGTGTAGGAATCACTTGCCTCTCACTTCTGTCACGCATGTTTCACCGTTGCCAATTTACAACAGTTAAAACAGACAGGGATGACTGCGTTCAAGCTGGGCATGAAAGTTAAATTAGCCAATCACATAGGCTTGGAGCGACTTTTACTGAACATAACTACCTGACAGACAGACATGTTTCGTTTCTCTTTCAGATGAAGTAAGGTGATAAACGAGAGAGAAGAGAGTGAAAGATAAATGAGGAGACAAAGAACCACCACCACTGCCAGTCTACAGAGCTCCCTCACATCACAGTAAATATACTGAACAGTATATTGCCTGCGCTTCGGCTGGGCAATAAACCACATTTATCACTTTACCAATATTATGACTCTCTTACTCATCCACGTTAATTCACTGCAAACATGGTTCCTGCTTCACAAATGTGAGAATCTGAAGCTTTTCTTGCTCATGCATGATAGCGAACAGAATATCTTTGGGTTTTGGACTGGTGCTCAGATTAAACAAGCAATTTGTACAGGTCATGTTTGGCTTGGGGGAATTATAATGGGCATTTTTTTGACATTTTATAGTCAAAGTGATTAATTAATTCATTCATTCATTCATAGAAAAAAAAAATCAGCAGATTTGTCAATGACGAAAATAATTAGATCTTCCTGTTGAGCCCTAAAATACTGAAAACACTGGCATAAGAAAAGATTCTGACGATGCACCAATAGTTAGATTTGGCACTGATTAACCTTACTTCACCTCTGAGGAAAGGACTAGAATATTACGTGCAGATCGAGCGATAGTTAATCCTTGGAACTGAGCCCTCAGAGGAAATAGGAAGCTGTTTGTATTGATCAGATGAAAGGTTGCGCAAATAAACAGTTAAATAAGATCCTTCTGGTGAATATGACGCATAATGCAATTATAGAAAAAAAATATTTTGACAGCAATGCAAGTAAATTTAACATTAATTAACAAAATTTTTATTAGTAGCTCTTCGTAATATTAGACATGACATTACCATCACTCCACGCACCCAGTGGGAGCTGCACTGATACACTTACACACTCTCTGTGCATTATTCACATTATAATCTGTCATCCTCTGTACTGAACTGTTCTGAGTTGCATCAACTGTGCAGTAACCATATTAGTCATAATAAAGTAAACATTGGCAGCAGCAGTACCCATGATGCCTGGGTTGTTTACCCATGGTTCTGTGCTCCCGTGCCTGTCTGCCTGTTGTTTAGCTCAAAGCTCCGAGCTTTCACAGTCCTGCCTTCAACTAATTATTTCTTTAAAGAGGGGGGTTGGGGGAGGGCGTGCAGACAAACACAACCACGCTGATTATTCCTTTCTATAAATATTCTCAAAGCAACAATTGTCCATTTCAGCAGGGATTTCATTAGACATCCGCAAAGATTAAACAAGCAGAGTGGAGGGGAAGGCGGAAAGGGGGGAACAAGAGTGAAAGGGTGGGGTTGGGGGGGGGGGGGGTAAATGTGATAGAGCAAGGAGAAAGATGGAAAAGTGGAGGACTAAGAGAAAGTAAGTGATAGCGAGAAAAAAATGAATAAAGAAAAGGCAGAGAGAAAGGGCAGAAGGTAAAAAGGAGGAAAAAAGAGAAGTACACAATGAGATGTAATGCAGGAAATGACAATCATAATGCATTTATTTAAAAAAATAAGAAGATGCGAGTTAAACATGACTGGAGAGATAGGAGAGCAGCCAGGGATGGAGACAGCTAAAGACAGAGGAAGAGGAGGGGGGCAGATGAACAGAGACATTGTTAGGAGGTTAGTGAAGAGGAAACAGAGGAGAGATGGCAGGCTCAAAGAAAACTCTCTGTTTATGTTTACATTTGGCTCAGAAAGACAAAACAATCCAACATGAGGAGAGAAAGTGACAGACAGAGGGGAGGCAAAGTTATTTTATTTATCCCAGTTATTTAAAGGTGCTTCATGACAACATCAATCAGACCAGATTGACTAGACTTGCAAGCAAGTATGGCAGGGTCCAAGCCCACTGACACAAAGATATAGAGAGGAGAGAAATAAACCAATTTAGTATTAAAGGCCCCATAAACCTTTTTTCTTGATCAGCTTTTTCTCTACGCACACCTGGTGAGTCAGATTACCTGAGTTTTGACTGTTAAACTCTTACTAATATATTAGTATAGGGTTGGTAACATGGATTTCACTAGAAATCTGCTGTTATCTTCGCAGCATGTTTGGTAGGTTTGATGGCACAAAACAGAAAGAGGTCAGAGGTCATTGAGGCAGCAGTGCAAACAGAGCTAAAGCTACAGTTTTTCAAAACCCAAAAAGGGACAATGAGTAAAACACTGAGTGAAAAAACTGTTTCAACATGTTTGTCATTTTCAGCAAAGCATAAGACACTTAGCAAATGTAGCACCATCTTTATGAGACAACTGTTTCTAATTTTCTATAAAACAGTACTAACAGTTTGACACAGAGTTTCTCCCATCTTGGCCGGTCTCACTGGTTTAAGGGCAGTCATTCCAAGTCACCACAATTAGTTTTATATATTCAGGAACATGCTAAAGTTTGGGCACCCCTGGTCAAAATTTCAGTTACTGGGAAAGATGATTTCCAAAAGTCATAAAGTTAAAGATGACAAATTTTTTTAATACTTTAAGCAAAACTACGTTTGTTTCCATCTTTTACTGTTTCAAAATAACAAAAAAAGAAAAGGGCACGAAGCAAAAAATTTGGCAACCCTGCATGTTAGGTACTTAGTAACACCTCATTTGTGTAAGATTCTGGACTGTCTTGTGTTTGCGTCTGTGGGTGTTTAGGATAATTTTTCTTGTAGAAGCTATCCTCTTTTCATCTTCAGCTGTTTTACAGACAGTGTGATGTTTGCTTCCAGAATTTACTGTTATTTAATTGAATCCATTCTTCCCTCTTCCAGTGAAATGTTCCCAGTGCCACTGGCTGTAAGCCTGATCGATCCACCCCTGTACACACTGTAACAGTTGGAAAGGTGTTCATTTCAATGAAATCCTGCACCCTTTTTTTCTCCAAACATACTTTTGCTCATTGAGGCCAATAAGATCTATTCTAACTTCATCAGTCCACAGGCCTTGTTTCCAAAATGCATCAGACTTGTTTAGATATTCCTTTGCAAACGTCTGATGCTGAACTTTGTGGTGAGGAGGCAGGAAAGATTATCTTCTGATGACTCTTCCATAAAGGTTATAATTGTGCTGGTGTCGCTGCACAGTAACAGAGCACCACCACTCCAGAGTCAGTGAAATCTTCCTGAAGGTCTTTTGGAGTAAGCAGTTCTCTTGGAAAGTCTTCCAGACCTCAACTTCACCTCCACTGTTCCCATCAACTGCTATTTCTTAATTACATTACAAACGGACGAAATGGCTACTTGAAATGCTTTGCTATCTTCTCTTTCTCCATCAAATATTTCAATTTTCAGAGCGCTACGCTGCTGCTTAGAGGTGCCCATAGCTGCCAATTGTTGAGGCTTGATATAAAACTTTGAAATTTACATCACCTTGCCTTTCCTAACAATGACTTTCAACAAACCATTGCCCTAGCAAGCTAATTGAGGTTTTGGTAAAAGTTAACTAAGAGCTCAAATGTCTTGGGGTGCCCAAACCTTTGCAAGGTGCTCCTTTCCTTTTTTCACTCTCTCACACAAGCTATATGTTAGTTTTGCTACTGCTATATAGCCAACATTAGCACTGACAGCTGTTTATTTTCTTGCCAAGAGCTTCAGCCATTGTTGCGTTTGCAGGACAAGAAGTTATAATAAGCCCTCTAAGCAATGCTACTTCTTCAGGGCAGACTGGACGCTACATTGACTTGGTATCGAAAAGTGACAAGACAGGCCGACAAAACCAGGGCAAGATGGAAAAGAAAAGTGATAGAAATAGAAGGAAAACAAGAGGGTTTCTTTCCACCATCTCTTATGTGGTAAAAAAAAAAAAAAAGTAGGGTAGATTACTGGAGACAGCTCTTTGTTTGACACACACCTTGCAATGTTTCTTTCTTCTGGTAAGTTAACAGCAGTTTATGAACTGCTGAACTTACAAATAGCTCCT